TCTGTGCCGTACCTCAGCCCCTTGGTACTGCGCAAGGAGCTGGAAACGTTGCTGGAGAATGAGGGAGATCAGGTATAAATATAAAGACATTCTCTCGTGTTTTTATGTATATAGCAAGTGTCAGCCAGCAAATTCAAGATCCTTTAAGTTACACTTTGTGGTTTATCTGTCCAGGTGATCTACACCCACAAGTTCCTCAGCCAGCACCCAATCATTTTCTGGAACCTGGTGTGGTATTTCCGCCGCCTGGACCTGCCCTCTCACCTGCCCGGTCTCATCCTCACTTCTGAACACTGCAACAACGGAGTGCAGGTTAGACATAACATCTGGTTAAATGCAGTTTTCTCTTCTTCTTTTATGTTTTCCAATCTCAAGGTATGCACTACTTGGTTGGGAAGCGTATCTGTAACCGGAAGGTCGCCGGTTCGATCCCCGGCGACGGCGATCCCCGAGAGTGAATGAATAGTGGCATTGTAAAGCGCTTTGGGTGTTTTACTGTCATTACTACTGTCCACAGGAACTTGTACCAGGAACTAGGAGCTTTTAGACCAGAGTGTAGATTAGTTTCAGAACATTGTGTCGTGGAATATTTTAGCTATTTCACAATAGCTCGTAAAAAGTATTCTTGCTCTGTGGCGTGCTGCTTTTTTACTGTTTTTAAAGATAAAAAAAAATCTCCTCGATTGCTCTCATCTTCATATTCCTTGTTGTTGTAAGAAAACTGTGACATCACATCTGTCACACCTCACTTTTTGTACTGTCCAATCAGGTGGGCATACAGTAGAGGACTATGTCCAAATGAAGCTGTGAGGAATGTTTATATGAAACTGACCCACACATAAAAGATGAAATGCTGTGGCTGTAATGGACTGAAGCCAGCAGTGATGTGCACACCAGGTATAAGAAGGCTTCAGTCATCTAGACCCAACACAGCAAACTCATTCCTTTACAGAGGATGTCCTGTTAATTAGCGAGCACCATGTAAGCTGTGCTATAATGTCATGGTTTATTCTTGCAGCTGCCTCTGACGTCACTGCCACAGGACAGTAAGCAGGTGTACGTACAGCTCCTGTGGGACAACATCAACCTGCACCAAGAACCCGGAGAACCACTTTACCTGCTCTGGAGGACCTTTTGTAAGTGTGAAGACAGACATTATCAGTCATTGTCCATCAGTACAGTGTCGAGTGTAGAACCTGTATTTGCAGATTGAATTGTGAGCTTTCAGATTATTGGAGTGAGTTATACTGCATAATCACCACTGGGGGGCGCAAGATTTCAGCCTTTAAACCTCAAGCAAACACATTTTAGTTCACACTGAGAAAGAAGGTATGTACTCATTTCAAAAAACCCCAAAACCAGTCAGATGGAGTTTTGTGAGCGGAAAGTAAAAGAGCGAAAGGACGTAGGACCATACGTGTATCTACTGAACATCTCAAGTTTGAACCTCAGTGACCTTGAAGTGAAATTTTCTGAAAATCTTATCAATGCAATAACTTGGGAATGAGACAACATGGGATTTTGAAATTGATACCTTTGGTGCATGTATTAGGAGGTTGAGGGGTATTTTGTTAAAGTGTCACTGCTGAGCAGAACAGATCAGAGTGGAGGATCTTTGCTAAAAGAATATTTCAGCAGACTCTCTGATGCTTTGATGTTTGTGCTCCCAGTGGAGAAGAGGGGAACTCTGGGGCCAACAGACCACCAGGAGAGCCGCACTCTCCTCAACACCATTGTTCGCAACATCCAGACCAACGACGTCTACGGGCCGATCAACCTGCTGATCCGAGAGATCAAACGGCGTCCAGAAGGGCTCAAACGACAGAGGTCAGTTCTCCTCCTTCACCTCTACTCACTGTTTCATATTTAGTCTTTTTTTAAGCTCTTAGTTGTGATTTTTGCTGCAGTGCATTAGAAAAGTGTCTGATGCCTCATGTGTGTGAATGTCTCCCAGGAGCGTCTATAGAGAAATACTGTTTCTGTCACTGGTGGCTTTGGGACGGGAGAACATCGACGTAGGTGAGTGAGATTAACTAGTGATGTCAGCTGTGACCTATAGTGTACTGTAAGAGTTTGAAGGTGATGAAAAGTGATGACGTGAAACGTTCCTAAGTCATATCTGTGTCGTCATCATGCAGAGGCCTTCGACAGAGAGTACCACAACGCATACAACCAGCTGAGCGCAGAGCAGCGCAAGTCTTTGCACTGCATCGATCGCCCGCCTACTCCCAACGTCCAGTGGTGCCTTAAATGTTTTGGAGCACCTTTCATCTGAACTGATCCTCTCAGCAGCAGAGACACAAACTCTTACTGTTCCTGCTTCAACTTTGGGGAACAGGAAGACTTTCGGACATCTCCAGCTCGACGAACATGGTACTGCTTCTTCCGTTTGCCTTGGAAGATGACGTTGGCCGTTTCACGTTTCTTTGCTTTGCTTTAAAAGAGGTTTTCCAAGCAGCTGCCTCAAAGTGGAACTGTTGTTGTAAACTTCCTGGAAAGCTGTAATGAATCTCTTCAGACTAGTTGAGTTGCTTTTCCTTACAGAAGCTGTATAAAGCGATTGATCACTGTACAGAATATCTGTGTGTGTGCATGTCAGCAGCTTTGCTCGTAGCCTTTTGCCT